CTTCACTTTATTACAAAACTGTATAAATGACTCTGGCATGCAGACTGACACAGAGGTAGATGAGGAGAGCTGAGAGAGCAGAAATAAACCTATGCATCGTGATCAGCTGACTGTAGAAAATGGAAAATTGTATGGATTGAGGATATGCAAAGAGCTCCTACAACTCCATTGCAAAAAGAAAAATCACCCCTTTTCAAACTGGGCAAAGGACCTGAACAGATATTTCTGCACAGACGACGAGCTACTGGCCAGGAAGGTCATGACAAGAGGCTCATCAGGATTAGTCCCTGGGAAATGCAAGCCAAACCCACAGTGAGAGCCAACTTCACTTTCCCAAGAATGGTTCTAACAAAGGAGCCAGAGAATAGGTTTTGACAGGGATCTAGGAGAACTCAAGCCTCAGACCTGCTGTCAGGAATGGCGCAGCCCTTCTGGAAGGCAGCTTGGTAATTCCTCAAAAAGTTACAGTTATTGCTTAGCAATTCCACTGCCGGGTACTGACTCAGCATTAAAAAGTTTCCGCAGCTGGTACTGACTCAGCATCAAGATGTGTTCACACAGAAATCTGTACAGGAGCACCCACAGCAACTCTAGTCACAGAAACTCAAACTCAACTGATGAACAGTAAACGAAATGTCAGCTTCCGCCACACGATGAAATATCACTTAATCATATAAAAAGGAACTACTGGCCGATCATGGTCCCATGGAACCCCAGCACTCTGGGGTGAGGAAGATCATGAGTTCAAAACTAACCTGAGCAAGATAGTTTAGGAACAACCAGAGTTAAATGAGACCTTACCTCCAAAAAGAAAAGATTTAGGACTGAAGGGGTACCTCAGGGTAGAGCATATGTTTACTACATGTAAAGTCCTGAGTTCAATCCCCAACACTTCGAAAAAATACTTTTAACTTTTTTTTATGTGTATGGGTGTTTTGTCTGCATGTATATCTGTGCACCATATGTATACTTGGTTGCCCTCGTAGGCAAGAAGAAGGTGTAAAATTCCTGGAACAGGAATTACAGACAGTTTTAACCACCATGTGAATCCTGGGAATTAAATCCAGGTCCTTTGCACCGAGTCATTTTTTTTAAGTTGTGCACTTCAACAGATATATTTTATTTTACGTGAAATACATACCAATTTTTTTAAAGTTCAAGAAATTTTAATTTAATGTCATGTTCTATCGAGTTATAGCTGTCTATCCAGCTAGCTAACCCTCACCCCCAGGGAGACAGAAGCCAAATGTACTCATTACGTTTAACATGACTTTACATCAAGGGCTTTGACTAAAATTTGTTACATTCCTAGTTTATGTGTCTGAACATCTCGTGGAAACTAGCTGTGAGGTGAATCTTGATTGTCAACCTCATGAGATCCAGAGTCAACCTAGAGACAAGCCTTTGGGGAGGTCTTTAAAAGCATTTCCAGAAAGGTTTAATGAGGGGAAAGCCCCTTCCCCAGAGTGGGCAGCATCCTCTAACAGATGCCCAGGTACAGAGAGGTCCAAGGAGAGACCAGTGCCCTTTGCTGGCCCGCCTCCGCTTCATGCTGGTCAACATGTCTGTTCTTGTCTGTTCTCGCCACCGCTCCGCCACCACAGCCACATGATCCCCCACTAACATCGGACTCCCACTTCTTCAGCCTGCCAACATGGACAGAAGACCAGCAACTCTAGACCTTCAGAACCAGACCAGGCCTGCTGAGAATCAGACAGGGCCTGCTGGGGCATCCAGCTTCATGGGCTGACTGTTTACTAGGTTCTCAGTCCCTCCAGCATGCAGGCAGCCCTTGCTGGACTACTCAAGTCCTATGCTGTGAGCCACTATAATAAATCCCTTTTTATAACATACAGAAAACTAGTAGTAAAAAGTACCCACTACTGTGATAAACCCGAACCATGTGTTTCTTAGGCCTTTGGAACTAGTTATACAGAAGGAATAAATCCCTGAATACTATAAAGACAGTTTAATGGGCCGCTCTTGTAAGACTTTGGAAGACCAGCACACAGAGAGGAATGTGGACAGTGGAGGTTCAGAACACACAGTGTGAAGGGAGCAGGATTCTGATGGGAGTGGAGTTACAGGCGTTTGTGTTACGGTCCAAAAAAGCTGCATCCCACCTGTGTCCTGAGAACCTGGGTTAGAGTAAATTCAAAAGTCAAGACTAGTTTGTCTGGCAGAGGAAATGTGAAACCCAGATGGCTCATCATCTTACACAGGTCCACAGGGAGAAAGAGTAACAGGACAGTACAAAGACAGAAGAGGATGCTGTGGGTCCGGGGAGATGCTTAGCAGGAAAGGGCTGGCCGTGTAGGCACGAGGACCTTGGTTTGGAGCTCCAGCTCCCACGTAAAAAGTCAGTGCAAAGGCATGTGTTTACAATCCCAATGCTGGGGAGGTGGAAACAGGATCTCCAGGGCTTACCAGGCCAGTCTAGACAACTGCTGAGCTCCAGGTTCAGTGACAGACCCTCTTAAAAATTAAGGCAGAAAAGTGACTGAGGAAGGTACAAGATCTCTGGCCACTACATACACACACACACACACACACACACACACACACACACACACACACACACACACTCATGTGTACACAAACACAAAATAAAGTGTCATTTTTAGAGTAAAAAATGGAGTTTGTAGTTGTAGATAGGGTAGGTACTGAGAAAGGAGCTATGACGGTTACAGAGAACCTCTAGGAAAGATGCCCTGAAGGTATGACATCACCCACCAAGGGCTCCACCACGTGAAAAAAATAAATCCTTTTGAAAGGAAAGAACCTAAATTGAGAATGCCACTAAAAGTGATTCCCTTCTCAAAAACAAGCATCAAGGCACACAGAGGCCACTACAGCTTTGGGCCAGGTGGGCCAGGCTGGATCTCAAACTGGCAGAACTTGGCAGAATCATCCACGTGGCACTCACTTTTCAGGCAAGAAAGATGCAAGAATGAGGCCACAATGGAAAATTGTACCAGGTTCCAGAAAGCCACAGAGACCAGGTAGCGTGTGTCAGGGTCAGAGTCCCTGCAGGAAGGCCCCAAGAGGGCACTACGGGAAACTGTGATGGTAAAGCCTAAGTTGCCATAGAAATCCCCAGATGCTGGGGAGCGAGGACCACTTCCATCAAGAAAAGCCGTTGGGATGGCGGAGAGCCAGCTGAAGAGAGAAGGCGTGTGTGCTGCAGGAGGCAGAGCTGGAGGAGTGGAGCTAAGTAAGCACTTTGGAACCCAGGTGATAGCATCAAATAGTCACTGGTGCCAGACATGGCGCTGCAGGACTTGGCATCTGCCCTGGGCTTGGTGTCCTTAGATCTGATCTTTCCTTGGATGCCCCATACCTTCCTCTGGAATAGAGCGTTACTTTGTGTCATTGTAGATTGGAACTATGTAACTTAGATCTGATCTTTCCTTGGATGCCCCCCCATACCTCCTTCTGGAATAGAGTGTTATTTTGTGTCATTGTAGATTGGAACTATATTACTTAGATCTGATCTTTCCTTGGATGCCCCCATACCTCCCTCTGGAATAGAGCGTTACTTTGTGTCATTGTGGATTGGAACTATATAACTTAGATCTGATCTTTCCTTGGATGCCCCCATACCTCCCTTCTGGAATAGAGTGTTATTTTGTGTCATTGTGGATTGGAACTATATAACTTGCTTTGCTTTGTTTAGAAGTTCACAGTTAAAAGACTGCCTTGAATCTCAAAACAGACTTTGGAAATTTGAACAGTGTTGGGACTGTCGAAGTCTGTGGGTACATCTAGAGACAAACTAAAATGCATTTTGCATTAATGAGATGAAAATGAGACTTAAGGGACCAGGAGTGGGATATTGTGATTTAAAAAGATTTGTTTGGGTGTCACGTTGACAAGAGGGGGAGTTGTGATGGCTAATTTTTAATGTCAACTTGACTAAATGTAGAATTACCATGGAAACACGTGTGTGTGTGTGTGTGTGTGTGTGTGTGTGTGTGTGTGTGTGTGTGTGTTCCCAGAAACATTTCTCTAGGAGGAAGAGATACCCTAGATATTGGTGACACTGTTCTGAGACACAGTCCCAGACTGAAGAAAAGGAGAAGACACAGGACACACCAAGCACACACTGGTCCCACTGTGCTCCCTGACCACAGATGCAGGTGGCTGCCACCACCATGACACACCTACTGGAGTGCACTCTAGGCTGCAAGCCTCACTAAACCCCCCTCATTCACGCTCCTCTTGTCAGGCATTTGTTCAAAGCAACCAGGCAAGCACTCAAACACGAGCTCAGCCTAAGGACTTCTCCCTGCCCGAGGCTTCGGCATCCCCAACCATCCTGATTGGATTGCATTGTTTGGATTTTCCTCGCCGAGAAAATGCTAAAAGTAAAGTCCAGGAGCTTCACCGAGAAGAAAGCCATACACCTGGGTGAATGAACTTGACAACATCTATTTTGTCCATTCTGCTTACTTCCCAGTTTATACCTGAAACTACCTCAAATTGAATTCAAAGAACTTTAGAATTTTTATGACCTGGACAAATTCATATGGACATAAGCCATGAGGATATCAAAATATTCTACCAAATGAGTAAACAGTGAGTTCCATATTACATATTTACGTCTTTTGTTCCCCGCATCTCTCTGTGTGTCTCTTTCTGTTTCTCTGTCTCTTTCTGTCTCTGTCTCTCTTTCTGTGTCTCTGTTTCTCTTTCTGTCTTTGAGACAGAGTCTCATATATAGCCCTTACTGGGCTAAACTCACTATATAGACCAGGCTAGCCTTGAACTCATAGACTTTCCCTGACTCTACATTCAGAATGCTGGAATTACAGATCATGCCCACATTTCAATATAGTGTATTTGAGTCTCTAAGGAATGTTCATGATGCTATTCCACTTTCTTTAAGAAATTCTTATCAGCACTGTTTATATTCCATTCATATTTCAAGACTATTCCAGTCATAATAAAGTATTTCATTCTCAAGTAAGCTTACACAATGCTTAAATCACAATACTTACTGTATTTCATGTTGTTCCAAGCAGACATAAATTTAGTTTTTAGCTTGTCAACTTCATCTGTTCCTGAAGCCTCCATATTCAAACTCTAAAGAAAAAGCCATCACTTGATTCCATTCTTTTATAAAATTCACTGTACTGAAAGAAAAAAAAGGCAAATAAGTAATCAACACACATTATATGGTGCCCTACTGCTAAAGCTACTTAAATTATTAAATGTAATTTAAACTGAAAATAGGCAAACCAGGCTGAGGCTGTGGCTCAGCTGGCAGGATGTTTGCCTGGCATGCACAAAGCCCTGGGGTAATTCCAGGCACCACATAGGCCAGGCACTGCGGCCCGGGCCTGCAATCCCAGCATTTCGGAGGGAGAGGCAAGAGGATCAGAAGTTCAAATTCATCCTCAGCTGCAGAGTGAGTTCAAATTTGAGGCTAGCCTGGGCTACAATAGCCTTGTCTTAAAAAAAAGAAAAAGAAAGAAAAGAGAGAAAGAAAGAAAAATGTTTTTCATTTACAGAGCTTTTTTAGAATATGATAGTCTATAAATAATTTAACTACATAAAGCATATACTATAAACTATGTAAAATAAAAATATCACATAACCAAACAATAATACCCCAATAGATCACAACTGAATACAACCAAGTACCTGAGAAGCATAGCTCAGCTTTAATGCTTGCAAGAATACCCAAGGCTTCTCTGTATTTAAAGAAGCTGATTGGAAACCTGCCTAAAATGTTTGCTGTCTTCAGAAAGGCAACCTCCACTTATGTTGAGTAAGTAGTATTAGTTTTGTGTAACAGTGTCTAATTGTTCAGCTTTTGAAATTGTGACATTTTCTATATTATCTTCCTGTCTCAATACTGAAGCCTTAAAAAAATGGCTTAAATTTACAACAGACAGTACTTTTGATTTTACATGAGAATAAATACAACTTGAAGGAAAATTGAGATGTGTGATGTCATCTGAAAGATGAAATTACAACAGAAAATGTTGGTGTTTATTCACAGAAATTCACATTTTGCTATCTAAGGAAAGAATGCCCCACAGAACACTATGCTTTGGGGATTCTAAGTATCTACACACAAAAAAAAAAATCAAAAAACTGATACATGCAATTTTTTTTAAGAAGCAACATTCTCTTTACAGTATGTAAATGCTACTAAATACACACCATAGCTCTAAGGTAGAAGGAAACACTTCAAAAGCAAATGTGTCAACAGAACCAGGAGTCCAAAATTGTGGCTCTCGAGTGAAGCAAAAGGGTTAAAGAAATGGGGAACCCAGGGCCTGAAGACCAGAAACAACTGTGCCAAAGGAATCAGATTCTGTGGGGTTTGGTTTGTTTGACTCTAACAGCAGCCTGGAGGAGAGGCTGGGAAAGTTCTCAAAAAGGAAAAGAAAATCAGTACTAATCATGTATTCAAATGGTGGGAGCCAATAACATACAAAATGCCAATAATATTTTACATGGAAATCTCTAAGAAATAAAATCACTTAGTAATTTATTTTTATTATTTAAATTGTTGATACCTAGCCAGGTGGTGATGGCACATGCCTTTAATCCCAGCACTCAGGAGGCAGAGCCAGGTGGATCTCTATGAGTTGGAGGCCAATCTGGTCTACAAATCGAGTTCCAGGACAGCCAGAGCTGTTACACAGAAAAACTATGTCTCGAGGAAAAAAAAAAAACAAACACAAAAAAAACCTGTTGATACCCAGATGACTTTTTTAAATTCATAATCCTTTTGTTTCAGCTTCACGTGGGATTACAGGCACAAGCCAAAATCCTTAGCTAAGTCTCTTAAAAATCACAAAGTTGCCGGGCAGTGTAGATGAATTTATAAACAGTCTTATTAAATAAAGAACATGGAGCCAAATATAGGGGTGAAAGCCTTAGAGATCAGGAAAATAGTGAGAGTCACCAACCTTACCTCTCCAACCCTGGGGCTTCCAAAATGTGAGCTACTGCCTGTCTAATCTGCGCCTTTATTGCCTTGTTTTTCTGCCCTCTCATTGGCTCTTAGCCCAGCTACCTCTCTTCCTTGCCACTGCCTGTCTGTACAGACCTCCAGGTCTCTATGGTTGACTCTGTTCCCTAGTGTGGCCTTGAACATAGAGACCCTGCCTGCCAAGTAATCGGGATCAAGGGTGTGTGCTATCCCTGCCTGACTTTTGTGTTAATGGTTTGCTACTTCCTCTGATCTCCAGGCAAACTTTATTTATTAACATACAAATAAAGTATCACCACAGGGCAGTGGTGGTACATACATATCTTCAATCCCAACACTTGGGAGGCAGAGGTAGGTGGATCTCTGAGTTCCAGCCTGGTCTACAAAGTGAGTCCCAGGATAGCAAGGACTAAACAGAGAAACCCTGTCTTGAAAAAAAAAAAAATCACAAAAAAAAAAGCCTACAAAGTCAGGGCCAGTGAAGTGGGTCAGCAGGTCAAAGGTTTGCTACTAAGCCTGATAACCTGACTTGGATTCCCAGAATCCTCACAGTTGGTGAACAAAAATGACTTCTGAGAGTTTCCCTGTGACCTCTACACAAGCATTATAAACACACACACACACACACACACACACAAACACACAAAGGCCCGCACCTTGCTGACTTTGAAACCTGGTAAAATGAATCAGTCATCTTTGACACTGAAAAGCATGAGCCTGGCAACAAAATTACAAAAATCTTCAGCTTCAAACAAGCAAAGGCAAGCTGTGAAAACCTCTGGAGGGTGTGTCCACACATTCCATGATCGGAGCCTGGGCTGGACCCACACTGTACACAGCACTTGAGAATCTGTTGTCAACGAGGTGGGACCAGGCAGTTTCCTGCACTCTGGTGAACAGGGTATACTACTACTTCGTAAAACTATGTACAAGTATTGATACCAAAACTAATCTGAGCTGGGCATGATGACGTGATGGCACACAGGAGACAGAGGCAGGCAGATCTCTGTGAGTTCAACGTCAGCTTGATCAACATAGTGATGAGGTCTAGGATAACCAGGACCACAAAAAAAAAAAAAAAAAAGTGGATATGGTGATAATGGATTGATTGGGGAGAATTTGGGTTTCAAATAAAATCAAGAACAATAAAACTCAAACACTATGTACATAAAAGTTGTGCTTGGCTTAGAAGTGTATTTAAAAGTCATCCTGCTGACGATTCCCATATTTTCCTCGGAAGAACTAGGGAAGAAACAGAGTGGCAGAAGCCGATCCTTAACTAGTGTTTTACTTAAGGACCTTCATTGACTTCTCACTAATTGTTCTTAAAATTCTACACTAGCACTTTTTAAATCCTGCATTTCACACTATTAGAAATAGCTTTTTCTTCCCAAACAAAGTAGTAGACATGTGGTCAGAACATAAGAAAAAAATTATAGTTAAACAGAGACCATTTTTAAAGTAAAAATATTTAAATGTGCTTCCTTCTTAATATGTTGCTGCTAAGCCTTGATGAATAAATAATTTATTTTCATATGCAGAAAAACAGTCCCAATTTTTAAATCTAACACCTCTCTGTCACTTAACCTCATAGGTCCACCACTGCAAGTCTAGTAGTCCTGATCCTTGATTAGCTGAGTATACCTTAGGTCAGCCCCTGTGTGATCTGAGGATCATGATTATTTTTCTTTTGTTGTCTTATACACCAAAATATGCACATATGTAATACCTATAATATGAATGATTTGAAAACAGACACAGTTTTGTGAGACCAAAATCAGGGTAATAAATGTGTCTGTCACCTCCAAAAGCATCCTCCTAATCCCCTTTTGAAGTAAGAAAACTTGAGAACTACTCTTTTTTTCTTTCTGAACAGTTTCTTTGATTCTTTTTCTTTAAAATAGCCCAGTCGGGAGCTGGAGAGCTGGCTCAGCAGTCAAGAGCACTGTCTGCTCTTGCTGAGCAGTTTCAGCTCCCACATGGTGGCTCATGACTGTCTGTAACTCCAGTTCCAGGGGGATGCAGTACCATTTCCTGGCCTCTATATGATGCCTTCCATACATGCAGGTCAGAGACTCATACACATAAAATAAAAACAAATCTTAAAACAAAAACCAAAAGTTTATTTCTCTTTCTCTTTCTCTCTCTCTCTCTCTCTCTCTCTCTCTCTCTCTCTCTCTCTCTCTCTCTCTCTCTCCCTCTCTCTCCTTCTCTCTCCCTCTCTCCCTCTCTCTCCCTCTCCCTCTCTCTCATTTAGCAGCTTCTCCAAAGCAGGAAGCTTTGGTCCTGGGTTTAACTGGGGTCACCCCAGTGGTTCCCTTCCGGAGATTTTGTCATCAGGCACCCACACAGAGAACAAACAACTGAGGGGGGACCATGAAGTTCAGCTTCCTGTAGTCATCATTTCTCTAGAAGCACTTTCCTCACTTTACAGGGAAGACATCACCAAGCTTCTAAACAGCCAATCAGACTCGGCTGCTTAGTCATGTAGAGACTTCACCTCCTTAATCAAATTCCCAGGACAGCTTTGCCCAAAGGAAATTACACAGAGATCTCTTGGGTTAATTCACTAATTTAGTTTCACCTTAAAATAAGGGTGGGCTAGGCCAGTGAGAAGCTGGGTGAGTACAAGCACTTGCTGGGCAAACCTGCAGGCCTGATTTGATCCCCAGGCCCCACGGCCAACTTCCCAAAGCTGGCTTCTGACCACTACAAACAAGTCACAGCACACACACCTGCACTCTCAATACACACATCACACACACACACACACACACACACACACACACACACACACACACACACCTGTACTCTCAATACATACATCTCACACACATCTGCACTCTCAATACATACATCTCACATACATGCACACACACACGCACACACGCACACACATAAAGTAACAATACATATAATATATATTATATAATTTTTAAAAGAAAAGCACTGAGTATTTGTCTTACTGTCAAATTCTGAATTCCCCTCACTATTCCCATTCTCTTTCCAGAAACTTCTCTAGGTTTTATTTGCTTCAAGAGAGTCGCACTACGAAACCCAGACCAGCCAGGAACCCTCCTTCTTCGACCTCCTGAGTACTGGGAGGACAGGTATGTGCCACCCTGCCTGGCTAGGGTTTTAAAATTAATTAATTAAAGCCAATTTGTGTAAGCTTCAAGGCAAGTT